ATCAGATTCTTCGAGATCCGACATTGATATCGAAAATTCGATTGGATCAGTGCGATTACCTGACTGATATTTTCGATCTCTAAACTATGTAACGTGTTTGTATAATAAATTGTGATTTGTGTGCATTACGTAGCATAATCTCGACGGGTCGTCTAATGTCTTTTTGATTATCCACCGTGAAGATTTCAACAGCGTGCATCTGCAAGATTGCAATATTTTTGAGACGGAGTCGGTATTACAACTGTCATGTTACCTCAGGTTGAAATATCAGGTATTTCAAGTATCTCGAAACGAGAATTAAATATTCCTATACAGGGTGTCCATGTCCCATCTTTCAGCCAGACTCTTTCGACACACTTTGTCATTTCTCCTCGAAGTTTTATTAAAAAAATTCGAATAAAAATGAAAAATTCGAACTAGAAAAATGGAAAAATGGATTCGTCAACTATCCCAACATTTCCTACACTCTTATCAAAAATCATCTACCTAGAAATTTGTATTAATTTTACATTGGTGACATTATTTATTGAGGATATTGTTAATATGCAAAGATAGAACCTCTGATTTTAAGGCTGTTTTCAATACAACAGTGCACTCTGTCATTTCTCCTCGAAGTTTTATTAAAAAAATTCTAATAAAAATGAAAAATTCTAACTAGAAAAATGGAAAAATGGATTCGTCAACTATCCCAACATTTCCTACACTCTTATCAAAAATCATTTATTTTAAAATTTGTATTAATTTTTCATTGTTGATATTATTCATTGGAGATATTGTTAATTTTCAAAGATGGAACCTCTGATTTTAAGACGGTTTTCAATGCAACAGTGCATTGCAATAGCTGCATTGTTCAATTTCAATGATTCTGTATCAAAAAATACTCAGGGTTCAAAAAGAGGCATCTTAACCTGTAGTACTGTTAAATTAAATAGGCAAGTTTTCATGTACTTACTGATTGATACTTATGTTTATATACTTATTAACTGGGATCCTCAATCTTCAACAAATAAGAGAAAGAAAATTGGTCTAGGATCTTAAATTTCTTTAAAATTGCTTTTCTATTTCGTAGACAGGTATATTTATGTCCAATTATAAGTATTAAAGAACCTAGTCTCATACAAAATGTAATAATTGACCTAGGCTACAGATTTTCATCTTTTTATTGTTCTCTAATTGAACAGTGTTCTCTAACTTCTCTATCCACGCAATTCCAGAACAACTGAATGAATTTCTCATCCCACCATTAGGCTATCATCTGTTAAACCACTAGAACGTCATGTGACTTGGAACTGTAGCGCCATCTGTTGAACGTTTTAAAAAGTATCTTATATCTTTCGTTACAGTGCTATGTTATATCATTTCACACCATTGTCTTGTTGCTTAATAATACTCAATAATTCATTTGCAATAGTTATTAGTGCCTTGTTCTTCAATTAAAATGGTAAATTGCAATGAATACTAATTTCTATTCTTGTACAGAGAATATCAAGAAGAACCGATTATTATGTGTTGATTAATACCTCATGTTGTTCTTTATCGTTCAAAAATCTCCAACAAATTTAATCTTTACTAAACAGTCGTTATTTTTATGTATGTAGTCTCAGAATAATTTAACAAAGTTCAAATTCTGTCATTAAACTTCCTTTAGTTAGCCCTCTATGATACCATGTGACTTGAAAGTTGCAACGCCATCTGTTATTCATTTTGAAAAGTATTTTAAATCTTTCTCACAGCACTCTATTATTTAGTTATTTTACCACTTCTTCGATTAGATTAAGAGTAATTAATAAAAACCATTTTAAAAATCGCAACTGAAGAATATTAACGCGATAAAATTTTCATTATTTTTGCGATATAATGATGAATTATCAAACAATATGGCAAAGAAAAAATGGTGCAAATTATCAGTGTCTTCTGTTCAAAGTTCTCTATTTATTTACGTTGCTCAAATTTTCAAAAATTAGTTGGAATAAAATAAATATAAATTTAAAAAGTTAGTGTGGCCAGATACTGGTGACCACCATGGCAGTCAACGTGTTAATCTTTATTCTCAAGCACGCGAAAAAATTCGATTATAGTGAATTAATTCACCCTTTACACTCGACGATTTTTTGACCAAAGAAGGATAGGAGTTCAAAAATTTTCTGTTACAAAGCTGACGATATTTTTCTGAGCAGTGAATAAGAAATTAGATGATAATTAACACGTAGAATTATTTGATTTCGGTACCTCGCACACCGTTTCGTTATCTGATATTTGACATGCTTATGAATATCGAGCTTCGAAATTTGATCAAATGATGACTGAAGGCCGGCCTCTAGAGCGCAAAGGGTTAATACTCTATCTTCTCCTTCCTCCTTCAAAAATTTTTGACAAAATTTTCTTCACCCTCAACATCCATATATGATCCTTCATGAATGTACATAGTAACATCTCTCTATAATATCACGCAACTCGGAGGTCGCAGCGCCATCTGTTATGCGTTTCTAAAACTACTTTGAATCCCTCTGACAGTACCATATTACGTTGTCATTCCACCATTGTTGCTAACTTTTATCCCCATGTGTTAAAAGAATACTACTTTTTCTTATTCTTTTACAAAAATCCTGAACGAAGTTCGAATAGATCACCATTTTGTCGTATCAAGATCACCATTTTGTTGTATCGAAAAAATGGAAAGATACTGTCTCTCTCGACATAACCTTTCCACGAAGACAGTACCCGATAAATGTCACGTCGCAATTAAACTATTCGCGACGAACAACCTTGTTGACCTAATTGGTCGCAGTCGAAATGTCAGTGGTCCCTCGGCCTCTCGCGAGTCGATTCTCGATCCTCGACTGGATCTTACGATCAAAGGGAACACGTCTCCGTGAACCGTGCCCAATCGGCCAGATTCCATCGTGCGTAACAAACGGCACCGGTGTTACCTGAATTATGAAATAATCGATTTCGCGGCAACGACCGTTCCAGCTAGTGGTATTAACCGGTGGCAAAAAGTCCCCAGGTTTAATGCGCATAATCCGGTCGATCGTTTGCGCACGCAGAATGCGCGAGGTGTAAAACATGGCGGAAAAGATGGCCTGTGTCATTAGACGAAATTTTTCTTTTGGACACGTAAGGGGCTGCTTCTTTGTTATTTGATATAGACACGTGATATTTTTCTTTGGTTTTTGATGTCTATCTATCTAAGCCAAAGTTAAGTGCACGTGTACTTGGTGAATATTCAGAGTACTTCGTAACTTAGTGTACGAACACTTTTGTGACATACAAATTTCAATTTTTCCTCGTTGTGTAAAATACTCTTAAAGAACAATACATTTTTATATAGCTTGATTAATAATATCGTATATATTAATAAATAAACACAATATTATACGAAATTATTATTTACTTTCTCTAAAATATATATACCTATATACTATATACCTATTTACTCTCATTGTATCATTTTAAGTATATGATACAGCGTGAAGCTTCTATTTAATGGGAAAGTTAAATAATGCACTGAATTATTTTAATTATTTTAATTGTAAGTAATAGGAATTAATATCGTGAAATAATATTTATATCATTCTCAGTATGGAATAATTCTATCAAAGTTCTTAACAGAAAATCTGCACAAGTTTTGTACATAAACTTCCTCATAAGGGATAATGAATTATTATAAACAATTGAAATGCCTGTAGAGAAAGTAATACATACACGTTATTTCTGTAAGCTGAAGACAAAATAAACCCTGTTTTTGGTGTTCTAGGTAATTATTATATATGAACTTCTAATAACGCTAATATTGAACAAAAATTGCTAAAATTTAATACAATCTTCACCCAATGTTCATAAAAGGAATCACAAAATTATATCCCCAGCAATTAGAGAAGAAATAAATTCATCATCAAGTATGAATATCAATCGTGTGTACCCCACTGACGCCATTATGGAGGCATTGATACCTAATCTGCATTATGTCATTGGCTTTTACTTTCATCTAAAAATATACATAGCAAGTGGGGAAGCTTTATAAATAAATTTCTTTCATTCAATCTAATCTTAACCTCACTATTTAACTCGTTCATAATATAAAGCTAAATATTGTAAAAATATTTCCAAGAGAAGAATACAAATTTTTACATAAACACCCATCTATCTAATTCTACTATTTAATTTAATTTAATTTTGTATATCTAAATTCTTTCATATAATCCAATTTTAATATTCAAACTATTTCGTCTATTATAATTTCAACTGTTTAACTCGTTGCTGATATAAAGCTAAATATTGTAAAAATATTTCCAAGAGAGGAATACAAAATTTTTACATAAACACCAATCTATCTAATTCTACTATTTAATTTAATTTAATTTAATTTAATTTTGTATGTTTAAATTCTTTCATATGATCCAATTTTAATATTTAAACTATTTTATCTAATTTCAATTCTTTAACTCTTTGCTAACATAGAGCTAAATATTGTAAAAATATTTCCAAGAGAGGAATACAAATTTTTACATAAACACCAATCTATCTAATTCTACTATTTAATTTAATTTAATTTAATTTTGCATATTTAAATTCTTTCATATGATCCAATTTTAATATTCAAACTATTTCACCTAATTTCAACCATTTAACTCGCGACAAACACAAAATTAAACACGAATCACGTAAAGAATATTGCAGAAAGGAAATTACTACGGTAAAAATCTCCTCTACTTATCTCCACTCTCAGACCATTCCATTTTCTCTTTTCTCATCTACGTCACACGCCAACATCGCATTCTTCCCAATCATCATTCACATGTAAACCGAGTTCAACCACTTTTAATGATGAATAATCAAGTATGCAAATGAATCGGTAACTTGCAACATCGCGCAGCTATTTCTACAATCGAGCCTAGATTACGTCTATCCAACCGTTATGAACGAACGATCCTCGAGCAAAATTCCGCGATGTTTAATAGGCTTACGAACAAACGCTAAGTATTGTATCACGTTTGCAGAGGGCAAAGTCGAGGTGTCGCGCGATGGCAAATATTTGAGCACTCTGGCACCAGGAAAGGTACTGGGCGAGTTGGCGATCCTCTACAACTGCAAGAGAACAGCGACGATAACAGCGGCCACCGATTGCCAGCTATGGGCCATCGACCGACAATGCTTCCAAACCATTATGATGAGAACCGGCCTTTCGCGGCAGGCCGAGTACACGGATTTCTTAAAGAGGTAAAACAATTTCCGTCCGATAAACCGTACTACGATTGCCATGGTTTACGTGGCATTAGCCTCTGAAAGAGAAAGAATGTATCAATAGCTGGTGGGTGAATGAACGTTCAATGTTGCGTTTTTCAAGTGAGAATGGAAATGGAATGTTCGTAATATTTATTATTCCCTTTTTTATTGCAATGATTATGGAATTGTTGATATTTTTGGGCTGCTTGTGAAGCTTTAAGTTTTGGAATGTTAGGATGTTTTTAGGTAGGACATAGTTTGGCTGCGACTGGCAACGCCATCTGGATGGAAGAATTCTATGATTATTTTATTTATCGTTCTATTTGAATGGATAATAAATTTTCTAACGAGGAAACGAAAAATGGATAGCAATGAGATGCAAGTTAGGCAAAATTTGATAGATAGGACACAATTTTGTGACTGGTAGCGCCATCTAGATTAATATATTCTATGCTCGTTTTGTTTACCATACTATTTGAACGGTTATTAAATTTTTTAATGGGAATAGAAGGATGGACAGGAACGAAGTATAAGTTGGATAAAGCTTTCTAGATAAGATCTATTTTTCTAATGACTGGTATCGCCATCTGGATGGAAATATTCTATAATTATTTTATTTAACATTGTATTCGAGTCGATAATAAATTTTCTAACCAAGAATCGAGAGATGGACAGGAATGAGATGTAAGTTAGGCAAAATTTTTTAGATAGGACATAATTTTTGCGACTAGTATCGCCATCTAGATGAAGATATTGTATGATTACTTTATTTAACTTTGTATTCGAGTGGATAATAAATTTTCTAACCAAGAATAAAGAGATGGGATGAATGGAATGTAACTTAAGAAAAATTGTCTAAATAGGACCTAATTTGGAATCAATCTGATAACTCCATCTAGATAAATATACTCTATGATAATTTTATTTACTATTCTATATCAGTCAGGGTTAAATTTTCTTTTGTAGAATGGGAAGAAAAATTCTGCAATTGTTATATATCGATCGTATGGGTAAGAAAAATGAATGCATAATGAATGAATGAATTTCTTGTATTGTAAACAATTGCTGTAATTTATACACCTTTTAATTATCCCTTGATTAATTTTCAAACAGTCTTACTTGCCTCCAATATACACTAACTCCTGCCAATGGCTTCCACCCCTACGCGATACTAACTCAATACATGCATACTACACCAAAAATTTCGAATTATTGTGTTCCATAAAATCCAAAAATTAAAAAACTAAGAATTTTGTTACCTTATAAGCTCTTTAGTTAAAATAGTGGAATTTTGAGCAAAATTCTTATTGATATCCACGAATATGGAACTAATTACGAATTAATGGTAGAATTAACTTGATTTAAAATTTTTAATCCTTAACGAAAATCACTTAAAAAATACCACTGTTAACATTTACCAAAACGACCAAAATTAAATCAAACCGTGATTCACGAAATACACGATTCGTCACTGAACACCAATTTTAAGATTCTCAACTAAATTCCAAGTTGCTAATTATATCTACTCGCTCGTAACGTACCGAATAAATGTTTAGTCGTAAGAACCAGATTTTTGAATAATTTTATTGTCATCTATGTAAACGTGTCTTCGCTCCTGTGTAAATTCACCTGATTAACATAGAGGTATGCGAAGCTCGTTATCTAAAATGCGAATCAATTAACGACCACGTGCGTAAGAGATTAATCTCCAGGTAAACATTATATAACGAGATAATTTTGTACACACGTTCATAGTTTCCGAAATTTTCCAGAGATCCATCTGGAAAATTTTCAGTCTTACAGGTTTTTCATTTACTTATTTTTCATTTATCCATTTACTTTAAATTTTTTATTTTTATTCAAAACCTGCCAAGATCCTTCATAACTTTCAAGAATTGCCTCATTAAGAAAATTTTGGTTCCCCGTCTCTTTTATAAATATTCCTCAATAATCAACTGCACTAAATTTCTGAGTTTCGAAAGGAAGCACATAAAATCTTTTAATTTCGAGTAATTTGAATTACAATTGCATACTACTTAAATTACTTAACATAAATCCATGTTGCTCCCTATGACAAATCATGTGGAAAAAAGATTCTAAACTCAATGAAATTGAAAAGAGAATCTACAAATCGTTATTGCAAACCTAATAAAGAATAATAACTAACAGATAGTAATTAACAAAAATAATAAACGATTGCTGAGAAACCAACTTCTCAGCCAATCTCTCGTTTCTCTCTTATTTTCTCCCTAAATCCCTAAATTAATGATCTGCAGAAAATTAATAAATCTCTGATGAAAATTTATCTAACATTTCTTACATATTTCGTGGAAAAAAGAAAATAATAAAAAATCAATAGAAAATTGATGTTTAATTATAAATATTTTTGTTTCAGCGTTCCTATCTTCAAGAATCTACCCGAGGAGACACTAATCAAAATTTCAGACGTGTTGGAAGAGGTAACTATGACTATCGTTGATCTTTTCTTTACCAGTTAGCTGTGGCGCCCTCTTTTGAGAGCGCGCACCTATATGTATCGCGAAAATTGAGCAATGACGAGTATACTCGTCGACCACAGAGTAAGTGACACTGTTAAAATATTGGATCAAAAATATGAGTTTATTTTATAAAATTTACAATTTTATTACTAATATTTACTTATTTGGTTAACATCTATTCTCTTATTGGTTAGTTTTTATGGATATCTATGAATTTTAGTGACCGTCAAAAAATAGCTAGGTAACTTCGGGCCAGCAGCCATCAGTGGGCTCAGCGCCTGGTCAGTGTCACGCATTTGTCCCGTGGCGGATCATCCCTGAAGGAACCCTATCATAAATCAGCTTTCCGACTTTTACTTTTATCCCTTTTACGCTAACATCTAAAAAACGTTATCATCGCGCATAAATAAATTCGTTATGTGAACTGATAAGCTGTTTCAGCTGGTGCATACGGGGACGCATGAGTTCATCTCGAATTATTCATATTTTTTATTTGTTTGTTTTATTCCGGCCTGGCCTCAAAATATTCTAAACATCTTGAAATTTGCGAATATGTTTTAATTTTCGCAAAAATTACAATTTAAATAGCCAATGGTCACTACTTTTTGCGCATGACGAGTATACTCGTTATGACACAAAATTTTGCCACTTCTCCATGACGAGTATACTCGTCAATCACAGCTAACTGGTTAATCTTTTCACTGTCATTAAGACGTTAAGTGCCCAGCTCGTTTTGCTTGCCGTTCCGTTCAGGCCCAGACTCGACCGTCAAGTGGGCCAGGCGGAATTCCCAAAAGTTAGGTCCAAAGATGACGAAGAATTTAATACCAAGAGCTAGCACCTTTTGGTTCTAGTCTGGGCCGGTCCCTAAGGACCGTCCAGGCCCGAATGGAAAGTCTAGAGCCGGTCCCTGGGGACCAGCGTGGCACTTAACGTGTTAACCATTTCGCTACGGTGGACATCGCCGCGAAGTCTCTCTCATAGAATGAAAATGGGAGCATTGCAGTCTTTAGTATTCGGGGCCGTGTCTTTCGAAGGAAAAGAAAAAATAAAGCAAAACTTGACCATCGCAATAAAGCTTACAATTCTTTGCGAAGAGAGCTAAAAGCGGAACGCTTTGTCACGTACTTGTCTTAATCCTTTACTCAATTTTTGTGACCGATGACTATAGTCACCCGTCGTGCGTAGATGGCGTCTAATAGCTGGTGTTACCAGTTATGGGGACTATAGTCACTCATAGTAGCGAAAGGGTTAATATCAATGACGCTGAGAGAGTTCCTAATCCGTGAATAATGCTTTTGCAGACATTCTACAACAATGGGGATTACATAATCAGACAAGGTGCGAGAGGAGACACATTTTTCATAATAAGCAGAGGGCAAGTTCGCGTGACGATAAAGCAGCCCGATACACCAGAAGAGAAGTACATCAGAACGCTGAGCAAGGGCGATTTCTTCGGTGAAAAAGCGCTTCAGGGGTAACTATTTTGTTCGTAATCAGTGACCACTCCTTTGCAGATTTTTCTTAAGCCAATTTCAAGCTCTCGTTCAATTTATGTCGAATTTTGATACTCTTCAGCATTGACCAAGATGTAGATCTAAATACCGTTTAACACCATATAGCAAAGCCACATTTATACCTTTGGGAAACCTAGAAGCAGCATCATTGATAAGAACATCTGAAAAGAACAAGTTTATTTCAGTTAATCAAATTTACACACTTTTTTCCTTTTTATATTCTATGAAAATAAAATTTGGTATTCAGATAGTGATTTATTTTAACACTAAAACTACAGATTTGTAGTATATAATGAAATTTGAATAATAGTGATTTAATTCATGCAAGGAAAATAATTGGATATATATATATAATTACTATTTGAATGGAAGCCTATTTAAATATTTTCAATGATACCAGAACCAAATTATTCCAAACCAATCATGTTAACTAGTATAGTAATTCCAATGTTAATAACATTATGAAATATTATGAATTTAATATCTGAAAATAAGTATTTTATTTTCCATCTATAATTAATCCCATTTTTATGTGGTATATGAAACGATTTTACAATATGAGCCCATATTTAAGGCATCATGGGGCACCAATTTGTATCTTATATGCCAAATAGTAAATGCGACTCCGCCATTTTGTATTTCACGAGAAGGTATCAGAATAATCAGTTCAATGAAGTTTATAAGCAATAAAAGTTAACGCTGTGTTTATGTAACGAGATATTAGAATTTTATTTTTAGACTTGGTCTCAAGGTTCTTCAATAGATCTGAAAGTTTGCACGGCACTTCGGCTTGAATTACCTGCTTTTTCCCTCGTTGCTATGATTAAAACCTTAGGCAAGTGTATCATATGAGATATTAAAGTGCTCGAAACGTTTTCACAGGGATGACCTAAGGACGGCGAACATAATCGCTGACGATCCGGAAGGAGTGAGTTGTCTGGTGATAGACCGTGAAACGTTCAATCAACTAATCTCGTCCCTGGACGAAATTCGTACGCGGTACAAAGACGAGCTGGTGGAACGTAGAAGGTGAGCCTTTGCCCGTTGAATTTGCCCACAAATTCACGGCTCATAAATCTATCGAAGAACACGGTGTTATTACGTGTAAACGTGTTAACTCTCGACAGCTCTAATTATACAAGCTCATAATCGCAAATCGCCTATTTAAATCCATCACTATGTCTATGTGTGTGTGTTATGTTTCACGCTTACCACTAGGATGGGAGAATAGCGCGTACGATCTCAGAGTAAGTTTCGCGTTGCAGTATAACCGTGCTAATGATTCGACAATTAAGTTAACGTTTCGTTTCTTTCTTTTTTGTAAAGCGTCTCAGTAATTTGCATTAATGCCGTATCCCTCACAATGGAGGCTTACATATACACAGAGGATAATGAGAAAACAAGAGACTAACTAATCGTATAAATCCTATCAGTGTGGCAATAATGCAATTTAAGAGCATAATGTAGTCATTTTTATTCATAAGAACACTCTAAATGCTATGCATTGAATGAATTTTTAATATTACATGGTTTTAGAAGCCAGGCAATTAATATTATTCTTTCCTGTTACTATCTTTTATTTCTTTTTGTTCTAATACATTGTAAATTGGTATATATAGTAGGACATTACCTAGAGAAACTATATGTATTATAAGAATAACTGGTCATCTCAGTTTATGTAGAAATAAAATTGACCACATTCTTGTCTTTAAGCTTCTTATATACTTGAGAGATAAAATACATTACCATATTTGGTATATATATGTAATAATCCAAAACTTATAATTGAAACATTGGGTTAAATTATATATATATATAATTCTAAAGAACTTATCTCAAAAGCAATAACAGTAAATCAATCTAGTTCTTAAGTAAAAGGAAACTTCACTAATTTCTTTACTTAAAAAGGAAACTTAATGATTTACCTTAGCTATAATATCTGATCTTTCTGGTGTTAAAACCTTTTGTTTAATATTAATTATTAAGTTATTGAATTTGTATATATTAAGAGCTAATTTCTATCTGTAGAATAAGATATAAAATGAACAGACTTATCATCAAAATAATGTTTCAATGCAGGTTGAACGAGGAATTCAGAGACCTGAGGTTACAAGATCTTCGACCATTAGCCACTCTAGGTGTGGGCGGTTTCGGAAGAGTCGAATTAGTTCAAATAGCCGGTGACAGCACGAGATCCTTCGCACTAAAACAAATGAAGAAAGCCCAAATTGTTGAGACACGACAGCAACAGCACATCATGTCAGAGAAAAGAATTATGGGCGAAGCTGATTGCGACTTCGTTGTGAAGCTATTCAAAACGTTCAAGGATAGGAAATATCTCTATATGCTAATGGAAGCCTGTCTTGGTGGCGAACTTTGGACTGTCCTAAGGGACAAAGGTCATTTCGATGATGGCACGACGCGATTTTACACCGCCTGTGTTGTAGAAGCGTTCGATTACCTTCACTCTAGGAACATTATCTATAGAGATCTTAAACCAGAAAATCTCTTACTTGACAGCCAAGGGTAAGGTAGTTTCTAGCATAAATTTAATGTACATAATGTGATAATTCTTTAATCACAATTTTGTATAATTCTGAAACAATATGTTAATAATTTTTTAGTATTATAAAATACATTGTATACTTTTAAGTTTTTTTTTATGCAGATCATTATAACACTATATCATTATTCTTGCATTATTCCCCAAATTTGCAAAGATATAATTAGAAGCTATATATTCACAAATACAATCTTTTATATTTTCTTTATTATATTACATTATATATGTTATATATTTTCCCACAAAATTATGAAAAAGGGATTGTATAATGTAGATTTATAACTCTAGGATTTTTATTATACAACAACATATAACTACATGAGTAACACCAAAAACAATCTTAAACGTTAATAATATTTTTCAGATACGTAAAACTCGTTGATTTTGGTTTTGCTAAACGTCTTGAGCATGGAAGAAAAACATGGACCTTCTGTGGTACACCTGAATACGTTGCACCGGAAGTTATCTTAAATAAGGGACACGACATCAGTGCTGATTATTGGTCTCTTGGTGTTCTGATGTTCGAACTTCTCACAGGAACACCACCATTCACTGGTGGTGATCCAATGAAAACTTATAATATTATTCTAAAAGGAATTGACGCTATTGAATTTCCTAGATCAATCACACGAAATGCGACTGCTTTGATCAAAAAGCTTTGCAGGTAATAACAAAACTCTAGTTTAATGAAGACTAATTTCACTAATTTTAATTTTAAAACTAACTCAATTTTGATAACTTTAATCGATTTAAATATATAAAAAGATACAAAAAAGATGATAAAAATAAACATATTAACGTACGGAAATTTTTATATAAATTGTAACCAAATAATCTAATTAACAGGTTGCATATTTTAATATTTAACTAAATTTACCTATTCGTTCTTTTAAAGGGACAATCCTGCAGAACGTCTTGGTTATCAGAAGGGTGGAATTAGCGAAATACAAAAACACAAGTGAGTGTACAAAATAACTATCGAATTAATTAAATTAATGCAATATAAAGAAAGAAGAATTATTTCTGAATAATTGTATTTTCGTACTTAGATGGTTCGATGGTTTTAACTGGGAAGGACTAAGAGCAAGAACACTTGAACCTCCAATTATGCCACGAGTTCAAAGTGCCATCGATACAACGAATTTCGACGAATATCCACCAGATTCAGATCCACCACCACCTGACGACATATCCGGTTGGGATAATGACTTCTAAGTGGTCTAATTATTTGTTTAAAGCAGCCGTTGCTACTGAGAAAAGGATACGTCGAAAAACTTCGACCCGTGTTTGAAGAATCGCAAGATAGTCGAAAAATCGGAGGAAAACGTGACTATCGGTATCTGCATTTATTCGACAAGCTAATACTATGTAATTCATAGATAATCGTCTAGTATAACATCAATCATCGAAAAATTGAATGCAAAAGTAAACGAAGCTGGCCTGTGATAAAGAAGTTAGGCCATCGAAGGTTAGGTTTTCAAAACCCTTCGAGTCTATTGCACGATCTATGGATCCGAACGACTATTAAGCAAAATGGCCGAAGGTCATAATTTCACCGTACTATCTAAAGTAGAATACAAATTTTCAAGACATCGCCTCGGAGATTATCGATGTGAATTGAATATGCATCCGATTTAGAGAAATCTTTTACACGCATGAACACACGTTGAAGATGAAATCAAATCTCAAATCGTAAATGTCGCATGCGTTGTATGGTCGGCTTGATCGTCTGCCGTTACACGCATCTCACACGCCAACTTAATTTGGTACGTGTTTATTTTACAAGCGTTGGAAAATGTTCTTTCACTATGACGATTTATTCGATGGAGTCTTGGATATTCTTTTGCTTGTTTTCTAATATCTTATCAACTCTTTGGAATCTCTGTTTGAAGTCTTTGGATGGTCTATTTTAACTCTGTGAATGATTTGTTTGAATTCTCGTGATTGTTTGTTTTAACTCTCATTTTGACACACTGTATTGTATTTTTAATAACTGGTATCCTCCCTTGCATTACGTCATCAACGCATTATCTTTCTGGCAGGAGGACAGTTATCTGGAGGTAGATGGTGATGTTTGATCAGCTCTGAAGCCCTTACAGGATTCGATTTAGTTACAGAAAACGTAAAACGACCGGTTCTCGTCGCGTGATTTTTTGAGAATTACAAGGTTTATGACAAGGTAATTTGCTACTGAAACGTATGAAATCGAAAGACATGAAATATCATATACGAAAAATATATACAAAAAAAGTTTAGCAATTAAGAGCTACTAACAAATCATGTTTCAATGAATATTGGCACTCAGATGGAAAAAACGCTACACCGAAAACTTCCAGAAATAACAATTCTTACTGTCCGAGTCGTAAACATTGTCTAACATTGACTTTGACAAATGTGCATTTATGAACAATAGGTTTAGAGGTTTTAACCTCTGACTGATCGAGTGCCTTGCATCTCGACACGCACGAATGCGTCAAGTGCCATACCTAACAAAGGTAAAAGTTGAATACGATGCGTGTATACAAAGTATCCACGCGAAATGTGCACGATGTACAGTCAGCTCAAATCGTAAGAGACATCTTGCCATCGAACTCGTAAAGTCGTGCACGAATTTCGCAGAATAAACCATGTCGGTCTCTTCTCGCGTCCGATTCATTGTTGTTTGATTTACTTTATAGTTTATTGTAATAATTCTATTTTAAATAATTACGCGAAATGTGACACCTGTAAATAATTGATTATAAATAAATATATATACTTAAAATCAAATGTATATCGATACTAAATAAAGTTTTATTAATGCTAATGCTGCGTAATTAATTACTGTGTTATCAATATATCAATTTAAAATGAAATTCCAAAATTAATTAAAAAAATTAGTTAAATAAATAAAACATAGAATATTAATATATCTGTTCCAAAATATAAATAATCCAATTTTTGAAACTGTATTACATGGAATTCCTTATTTCTACCAAAACATTTAGTAGAAAAAAAGCTTAATGTACCTCTATTGAGAACAAAAAGAATGGTACCATTACATCCGAATTAATATAAATCTAAATTTAGGTATTTAAAATAAATATTTAAATTCATCCAATATTTGAGTTAATATATTCAACTATCAATTAACATTATTACTATGTTCTTATCTTACTACAGTTGCTACAAAAATAACAATCTAGGAGTCATAAAATCTTATTTATGGATATAATATATACAGGTATTGTTCTTTAGATAATATTCCTTAAAGTATATTCTTAAAATATATTGATATGATAGTATTAAAGAAACATTAATATTATATATAATTAATAATTAATTTACACGCATATAAATAGGTTACAGAATATCATTCAACATTATATATAACCAATTTTCACAACTAATCTTCTGGTTATATTTATAAATAACTTCATTTTAATGTACATTATATTTCGATATATAAAAATTCTAAACAGAATTATACTTACATTGCATATTCATTGTCTACAGGCAATCACTCACCGTTAATTTTACATTACACAAAGAAACAACGCGCTTAAAATTGAAAACATGGCTACCATAATACCTCGACAGAGAAAATAAAACACGAAAAGTTCCTAGAAAAGCTTACGGTATAGTCTAATACACCTCGCATTGTATGTTTTCATTGAACAACATTTATTATTGAAATAATTAGCATTTTTTATTTATTGTTAATACTTTAAACTAAATTAAACTGAATACAACAAATAATGCTAACAATATCCTAATTGCATTGTACTAGATAGATAAAATAGTTTTCTTTTATTTATAAGATAAATATTTAAAATAAATATTTTCTAATCGTATCGATTTATATATATTAACATGAACATAATTTTATTTTTATCGTAGAATTACACATAAAATATTCTTAAGCAGTTGAAAGAGCCAACTTTGTATTACAATGTATTACATATGTATATAGCTTTAAATCTAATGCCTTCTGAAAGCAGAAGATGCATGTATACAACACGTGCGACTGAATCTACGGTAGTATATCTTAACTGTATTATTTGTTTCTTATATGGGTAGTTCTTTCTTTATATGTGATTTTTATTATACATATAAATACTCAATAAATAAATATTATTAAATATAATAATTGCAACCTTTGTTTTATAATATATACGAAAGTATGAGAATTCTGGCAAACATATTAACGTATACAATCAGTTAAATTAGTTTCCAACGTGCTACACACGCGGGCTTTTGTAATTTATAGATGTTATTTCTTAAAAATAAAATTTAAATATAAGGTAAGTGAGATGTCGATAAACATTATTAATTGTGTTAATCTTCCATTATTTTTAATAGTGCCAAAAACAAATGAATATACTTCAAATCTTTTAGAACTCTTATATACAGTATAATAATTTCTTATGTATTACAAGTTAATTTCTATTCTTTATAATTAATTATTTCATATAATTTAAGTTTTGCTTAATAATTAAAGATTAGTAATAATTAATTATCATTATGAGGAATATTTAATATCTTAATATCTTTTTCTTTTAGTTTACCTACATATTTATTTAATTTAAAAATAATTGGGTATTTCTATTATCAAGCATTTCATTTATCAAGAGCTCAATTTAATTATAAATGAATATGTTAAAATGTTGTTTAATAATATCGTACTAAATATAGATATAATATTATAATTAAAAAAGAAAGAATTTTTTCTAAATAACTTATGTGTTAGAACTTTATTAATATTTTTAAGTTTTAAGTTTCTTATCCACATTATTAAATTATTTAAACATTTTCTGGTATAAAAAATGATAGGAAAAGCTATGGTTAAAAATATAGAAATATTATATTAATAACTATTTAAATTATAAAAGAATTATCATAAATTCATATTAATTTTAATGGTACTTACGTACTAAATCTGATGTGTAATAAATTTATTTCATAGTATATTTAAGAAAAATGGATAAAGAAGACAAAGGCAAACAATTTAGCATAGGAAGAGGCAATATTCTTTTAAAACTTATGAAAGAAAAAGAGAAATCTGAAAATATAACTGTATCACAAACTACATTGGATACAAGTACTACTTCTAATATTCCTCCGTTAATTGAAATTTCATCAAGTTCTACAATAGGACTAGGAAGAGCTACTTTATTAAATAAATTAAAAGCAATAAAATCTACTACTGAAGTACCAGATCCTAAACCAATACAAATAGATGGACAAGGTAGAGGGTCATTACTTAGTAGACTTAAAGCTGTTAGGTATGTATTCAAAACTATACATTTATTCTAGAAAAACTAACTGTTACTATTATATAAAAAAATTAAATTTCTCTTAAAGCGACATATACATATTAAAATTTCTAAGCCTTATTATGCAAAATAATATATTAATTTAGAACATATTTAAAAATTGATATTTAATTTATTCAATGCTAATAGTTTCATCTTCCTAATAATAGTGAAACATCATTACCTAAATAAAATAATATATAAAAATATATACTTTCTAAATACTAGAATAGAATTTAAATAATTATATATGTTAATAAAATGTTCTAGACAGTAAACTATCATTGGTACCATAAAAAGAATATCGTATTTAATATATCATTTTGTTACATTAAGAGTCAATGCTTTAATGTAGTTCAATTATATAAATCTTTTTCTTAAGCAAAAAGTTGTATACTGTGTACTGTAGGAGTATATTACAAGAAATATCTTTCAATATTTGAATAACAGAACAAAAGAAAATGTTTTTATAGTTTGAGTGCAAAACCATCTGAACAACCAAGTATTTCTATACAATCTTCTAATGATGCTGGAGTATTAGGTAAATTATCTGATATTACAAAACAAGAAACTAAACAGTTATCTGAATTACCACATTCAACATCTCAACCAAAACATACACAAGGAACTGGGGGAAAGCCGTAAGTATTAATATATATGATAAAAAAATAAAATAAATCAGATTAGATAATACTAATGAATTTTCAGAATACAATTAAGTGGCAACTATATAAATCTCAAGGTAGATCCTAACAAAGGATTATTCAGTTATGAAATTAAATTTCATCCTGACATTGATTCCAGACCACTTCGTAGGAAACTTCTTAATCAACATTTACAATCACTTGGACGAACAAAAGTATTTGATGGTGCAATACTCTTTCTTCCAAAAAAATTGGAGGAAAATGTAAGTAGTGAAATAAAATTAAAAAAAACGGATGTACAAATTTATACAATATGCAATTTTTAGATAACTATTTTCGAATCTACACATCCTATGGATGGATCCACAGTCAAGTTAACATTAATATATAAAAAGCAGCAAGATATGTCCGGAAATATTCTATTTTTCAATGTTTTACTCGGACGTGTAATGCGCGCTCTTAGTTTAGTTCGCATAGGTCAACATAGTTTTAATCCAAAGGGAATACAATCTATACCGCAACATAAATTGGAAGTATGGCCAGGTTATGTCACAGCTATTAGCTCATATAATACTGGTTTGAAATTACGCATAGATGCACGTCACCGTGTTATACGTACAGAAACAGTACGTGATTTAATGTAAGAGCAATAAACAATTTTATTGAAAATTTTATATTGTAGGAATTTCATATTACTGTAAATATAATGATTCAGGGTTGCATTGGGTCGAAAACCACAGTTTAAAGCTGCTGTTGTAAGAGAATTAATTGGATTATCTGTCCTTACAAGATATAATAATAGGACTTACCGTATTGATGATATTGCATGGGATAAAAATCCAACACATATATTTGATAGAGGAACTGACAAAATATCTATAATAGATTACTATAAATATAATTGGAATCTAGATATAAAAGATAAAGAACAACCACTTTTAGTTAATTGCGCTAAAAAGAAATTATCTTCTGGTGAAGTGAGTAACTTTATTTTACTAAAAAGGTTGTTCAGATATAAAATATAAATGTTAATTATTTTTATTGTATAAATTTCAAATGCAGACACAAGAACAACTGATATTTTTAGTTCCTGAATTATGTTATGTAGCAAGTTTAAGTGATAGTATTCGTACAGATTTTAGAGTAATGAAGGATCTTGATGCATTGACTAAACTAACTCCTAATGCCCGACATAATGTAATTAGACATTTTATAGAAGAAGTAAAAAATAATGATGTACCAAGAGAAATATTAGCTGAATGGGGTTTAGAATTGGAGTCTGATATAGTAGAATTTTCAGGCAGAGTTCTTGATCATGAGACTATTTACTTTGGTAAGAATGTGAAGTTTCTACCTCCACCTGATAAGCCTGCAGAATGGAGTTCTGCAGTGTGTAGGAATACTCTATTGAGGGCTGTAAGTATTTTCATTTTTTACATGTTTAATACTTAATATTAATAATTATAATAAGACATTTTTAGGTGAATTTAAATTGCTGGTGTATTTTACATTGTCAAAAAGATACAAGATGTACACTTGAGTTTATCACTATGTTAAGAAAGGTTGGAAAAGTCATGGGTATTATTGTTAAAGAACCACAAGTAATTTGCTTAAGAGATGATAAAATTGAAACATATGTACAAACATTAAGAAATAATATTAAGGATATAGTTAATTTAATGGTCATTATATTTCCTACAAGCAGAACTGATAGATTTTCCGCAGTAAAAAGGTAAAGCACTTTATTTTAAAAACATTATTTTCTATTGAATTTATATTTATGTTTATTTTATTTTATATTGAAAATATATTCTTTAATATTAAGAGTATGCTGTGTAGAAATGCCTATACCATCCCAAGTAATCATGTCCAGGACAATTTCTCGTGGTGATAAATTAAAAAGCATAACAGAAAAAATTGCATTACAAATTAATTGTAAGCTGGGAGGAGCACTTTGGGCATTACCTATACCTATGGTATGATGCAAGTATTTATAAATTTAACTTTATGAAAAACATAAGTATTAATAAAATAGTAAATTTCACTATTTTAGGAAAATTGTATGATATGTGGAATAGATGTATATCATGCTGGCATTGGTAGTTCAATGAAATGTAGTGTTGCAGGATTTGTAGCAAGTTTAGATAAACTATTAACAAGTTGGTACAGTAAGGTTTGCCTGCAAGGCAGACATCAAGAATTAATAGATATGCTGCAAATGTGTTTCATTTCAGCAATAAAAGCTTACTACAAAGTAAGTAATATTTATTATTCACTGTGTATGTTCCAGTATACCATATCATTATTACATTATAACATTTATAAATACTTTATATTATTATTTTATATTATAGCGTAATAAACGTTACCCAGATCGTATTATCGTATATCGAGATGGCGTTGGTGATGGACAATTAGATACTGTTAGTAAATACGAAGTGAAACAACTATTAACAACACTTGAAACTATAGAACCCAGTTATCAACCAACATTAACTGTAATAGTAGTTCAAAAACGAATTAGTACACGGTTATTTGAAAAATTTGTAAGTTTTCAAAAGAAAAACACTATTGACAAATTATATCTTTTAATTACATACATATATGTATATATATTTAGAATACAGGACTAAGGAACCCTCCACCAGGGACAGTTGTGGATTCTTATATAACAAAACCTAATCTCTATGACTTCTTTTTAATTTCTCAGAATATACGTCAAGGTACAGTATCTCCAATTCATTATATTGTCATTTATGACAATAAAAATATGAATCCAGAGCATGTACAACGCCTCACATACAAGCTCTGTCATTTATATTATAATTGGTCTGGTACTATAAAAATTCCTGCTCCATGTCAATATGCACATAAACTTGTTTATCTTGTTGGTCAACATATACAACTAGAACCACATCAATCACTTTCAAATATGTTATATTACTTATAAGTTATTTTTATCTACGTGTAATTCATTTTGGTAATAAACTATAAATTAAAACTATATTATATAACGTAATATAAATTAAAGATAATTTGAACATATAAGAAACTATATTATGCAAGATTTTATATATTTTTATAAATTTAAAAATTTGATGTATTATTAAAATTTTCACAATCTAAAAATGTAATATAATTTTATTATAGATATAATAGTAATTCCTAATCTAGGTAATACAGATATAATAGGATACAAAGTTATATTTTTTTACAAGATATAATGAAATTGTCTTTATATTAATATATAAAAATATCACTATTAATGTACGCAGTAAATTTCTAACAAATTTTTCAATAAGTTACAAATTTATATGCATTTAATATTTTATGTCCTTTAAATTTAACTCAATTGTAAACAATAGTATTCAAGAATAATTTTGTCAAATATATGAATGAAATATTTAATAAACATTATAATATAAGATATATATATTTGTCAACCATTATGTTTAAAATTAAAACAAAGTTTATATTCCATAATACAAACAAATAAATATTTTATATTTTTGTTATAAATAGAATTATTATATTTAATTATTTCGATTTTATTTATTAATATCCTTTTGAATACATTGACTGTCATGAGTCTAATGTCTTGAATAATTATTGAATCACCATAAACGCGATATGAATCCTGAACAAAAAATTGTAGACTTGGATAAGTACGAACTCTGGACCTTATGTATAAATATCTAGTACTTCGCTGACTTCATAAAATTTGCACCTTATTAATCCTTAATCTATATATTATAGTAAAGTCACTGAAGTACACGAATAGTGTTTATTCTCATCCTTTGAGTTCACGTAAATTTAATCAATTTATATTTACTTTCCCGAATTGTTTAAGCATCACTTTTTATTAGAAACTATATTTTCTACTTCATCACTGTATTAAAAATGATTAGTATAGTTGATTAGTACAGGAAAATTTATTTATATGCTCATGTATGTACGAACGACCCTGCTGATGAGGATCCAATACCCAGAACGACGCGAGCGAAATGCGTGTATCCATAGTCGTCCACCTTGACTTGAAAGTACGCATACGTGTTCGTGTAAGCGCACGTCCCTATATTATGACGCTCTATGCCAGTGTGAGACATTAAAGAAAGCAATGGCGTAACACAAATTATAATGTTTGAAACCCATACCATCGTAACGTTACACATACTTTCCATTATATTAAAATTCGTAATAATCATTTATTGTACAATATATATATATTTAAATATATTGTTACCGATAAAATATTAAAGTTTTTATAAGGATAACTGTAAAATAATTTTTCAATTCACTACAAATTCACAAACTATCGTCATGAAGAATAAAAATAGATAAATATCCATTGATATAACTATAGCAAACCTAAATCATCAACAATTTACCTTTCTCAAAAAAATATAGTGCAACTTAAATGATTTCCGGAAGGATCCACCGCAATGCGGTGTTTAGTTGATACGGTAGTTACGCCACTGCAAAGGAGACAACCGCATGTGTACGTAAATACGTACGTACGTATGTGTATTTACGGTCGTGGCGTATCGCGTATCGAGTCTCCACCGTCGCCGCCATTCGAGCGGTTAGCGCCTGCGTACATCTTGTTTACAACTGCGGAGCTTACCATACACATGACCTTTACAAGATGGACATGAGCGCCTATTTAGTTGTCTAGGCGTGTGACGGAAAAAAGTTCAAGATACGTGCGTGTCGTTCGTGAACGTCGACGTGTACGGTACGAACCGCGGAATCGAGTGATCTTTAACTTGGTTATCAAAGAAAACAGTCAAAGCACACGTTCGTGATCACAAGTGACGCGGTATTTGTCGTTCGCACGCGGGCGGAAAGGGGAAGAGAGGGATGGTGGGTACGAAAGGAGACCCGAATTTTTCACCTCAAGCAGATGTGATTGTCGTAAACAAATTTCGCATGCGTACGATCAAGAGTTCGCGTTTAGGACACGTCGTGCACGTTGCTACAGTGTTGTTAACCACACCGTGAATTCCATTCGTGTGTTTCCGCGAAGTGCTCGATATATGTATAAGGGGTGTGGGAAGAGTGCGTTCTCGCATCGACTTGGAATGCTGCCGTGTTTTGATGTGCCTACTATTGCGCATGAAAAAAATTGTCCTGCCCTTGACAATAGCCTATTTACCCGAAGCAGGCCGCCTTTATACCGCGCTTACCAGTGATAAGAGGGGTTCAACCACCCACCTGCGTGTGCATCGCTTGTCCCTCTCTCTTTTTCTCTACCTCTCTACGTATTTCCTCTAAACGTAGTCGCAAACGAACGAGCGACCACAAGCGCGCGCGCGCGCACACTTTTGCGTGTTGTGTACACGTGAACACGCCCGCGTGTGTTTGTCTCTCTGTATCATCGTGTATACAAGCATTTCTTCATATCTGCCCGTGTGTGTATACCCGCCAACCATTGTGGTAACGCAATAAATTGTATTATTCGACGCGATAAACAGGTGCACGCATAGTTCTAGCCATGAAAAACACTTCTCGATACTTTTGAGTATTTCCTTGATCAAGACATTCACAAATGTGAAATATGTAAATGGTAGCAAATACTGTAGACCTCAGATCGCGTGCAATCCACCGCTCTGGGATACCACAAGAGCTACGAATCGTAGCGGGCGAAATTAGACGAAACCGCGTGACAGGTGGAATCCAAACCTACCAAGAATCACGATTGCAAAAAGTTGAAAACGTACACCCAGCTTCTGTGTCTTCTAAGGGATTCGTATGGAAAGGTTTTTATTTTTTCTTGCAAAATTAACCGTTTTCCAATTCTGTAACCTTGAAAAACGTGGTTAGTTCGTAATACACCTTTGTCCGAATTCATCCGAAAGAACGCTGCGACGCCCTTAGTACACATTGAGTGCACATGCACCATGGTGGCGTGTTATTGCTTATTTACCCCCGACACGTGCTTCCACTGTTAGCGTGCCTCGAGTACAACGATATCGACGACAACCTTTCCACGATAAAAGCAGGACGGCAGACACGTTGCGTAAAAAAGCAACAATACGACTGCGCGGATTTTCAAATACGTTTCTCGAATTTTTCTCATGTTCGTGAAAGTAACGTTATAAAATTCTTCTGATCGAGATATTTACGTCGTATTTTCTCAGTGAAAAATCGTTCCTAACGGAAGTGTGACCGTCGAATCGAACTGCTGCTTTGACAACGTGGGTGGGAACACGCATTCTACTACGATGAACTATTGGCATAGCGTGTTTAAGTATAAGATGCGCGTTATGAATTGATCAACTGTAATCGTTTGTGTACCATGTAAATGGTACAGCATAACGCGTCGCTAGAGGATCCGCAAAATTCTTCACAACAACGGCCTGTCCAATCGTCATTGCGACGATGTCTTCGAGCAGGAGTCTAGTCTCTCCCTCTGGAGGTCCTGTTGTTCTCTGTGGTCACGTGAAGAAGCTAAAGACGCAGAAGAAAAAATTCTTTGTGCTGCGTGGCGAGCCACCAGGATACCCCGCGTGTCTCGAATATTATGATAGCAAAAAGAAGTTTGAAAACAGGCAGCCGCCAAAGCGCAGCATCTTGTTGGACAGCTGCTTCAATATCAATAAACGCGAGGACACCAAACACAAACATGTTATCGCATTATATACGAAAGATGAATGCTTTTGCTTGATTCTGGAGAGCGAAAAGGAACGGGATGAATGGCTGAAAGCGATGCTTTTACTTCAGAGCGGAAATGTAGCTGATGGAGAGCAACCTCGGCCTATATTTGGTAATGCGCTATTACGGTTTGAATTAGAATTAGGTTGCATATTGAGAAATGTAAATTTCAAATTTCAAACATCCATTCAGTATTTACGAATATCGATATCGTTACATGGCGATGTTTTCAATTTGCTGTACAGTTAGTTGTTTACCTGTTTTTCCAAATGCGTCATTGTCTACAGTTCTACGCCAATGAGATCGACGATCAAAATAAGAAATATACTTTAACAAGAAGAAACGTTCATTTTAACGTTTCTTTGTCTTCCTTTAAATACGTTTTTAGTTCTTTCATGGTCAGATAATTTTATTAATTGCTTGTCAAAGTTTCAGGGAGTAATATAAATCCATTTTGAACTGTATGAGATAAAATATGTTTTTCTTTGTTTATAGGGACATATTCTAAGGGTTTATAAATGATTGTTGCAATTGTTATGATTACAGTTAATTTATTTCACAGTATTATGTTATATATTATTAATTATGGTGAAGTATAAATATAATATTTTATTTCAGAACATGTATGGCAAGTCACAATGCAGAAAAAAGGACTAGGTGAACGAAAGAATATACATGGTCCCTATAGGCTATGTTTAACTGATCGAACATTAAGCTTAGTAAAAATTGGGGCAAAGGATAATTCAGATTCTATAGAATTTCCTGTAAGCTCATTATCTTAATAGATGATATAGTCTGAGATTTATGAAAATAAATCCTTGTCGTATTTAAGAGAGACTAACTTGAAACCTTTGTTTCATAGTTAATTTGCATCAGGCGATGTGGGTATATGGATCGTATCTTCTATATGGAAGTTGGTCGTTCAGCAGTCACTGGTGGTGGTGAATTGTGGATGGAAGCTGAGGACAACAATATAGCACATAATATGCATGTTGCTATTATGAATTCTATGAGCAATTCTAGCGGTAGTAAAGATGATGTGGGACCACGTCAAAGAAAGCGTAGCTCATCTGCCACTGAGGCTAGCAAGCCAATTTTTGTGCTCCAACATCGACATACTGGACAAAAATTCCATAATTCACCATTGGGTAAGTCTTAATTTTAAGAAATTATATCTATTTCTGTTCAACACGATATCAGTTATGGTTTATTGCAATTTCTACAAAAACTGATTTCCAAAATATATTTTCAGTTGTGTAAATATCTTGACAATGTGTTTATAATATTTTGATGTTTTGGTTTTCTCTTCTACGCTAAACATTTTACACAGAAGCTCCTTTGTACAGAAATCATCCTACAAATTCCTTTCGCTTCCTTGTGTGAATTGTCCAAGACATTGATTTCTTTTTTTTACATCATACCATAACTGCACTACGTTATATGTCTTGAAATATCGGCTGAATCACAAAAATTGAAAACTCAGCTTTAGAATAACACAAATGGGTTGCGGGTATTACAGAGGAACACAGGACACACGAGGAGCAGGTGGATCCAGTTCAAGAACAGGAGCAATCTAATCAGACTCAGAGTACCTCTTCTTGCAATACAGTCACGGGTCTGTTTTCTGTCATTGTAGTTGTATGCTTTTTTTTCTCATTAGATGTGGGTATCAAAAGGTGTTAAACGCGATTATAAGTCAATACTCATAAATTTAACATCAAAGAATTTTTATCATATACTGCTCAGAGATTTTTGATTTTGAAAAAAGGTTAAGAGAAATGTAATCACTTGCTTCTAAGACATTTGTTCTACTAGATCCTATAATTTCTTATTTGAAAGAATATAGGAAAAGGATTGATCATATACGATAAAAAATTCCTCTACATCGTTATCGCGATTTATATGTCATGTCGCAGGCTATTCATTACATTTTAGATTTTGTGAAATATTTCGAATAAATAACTACACGATATTCGTGATAAACTATTAATTGACAAATTTTACAACGAAACGTATAAGGCTTTATTGATTACTGTGTTCAAAAGCTAGTGCCTAGTATTGCACAATATGTTTCAACATCATTCATACGACGGACATATATATATCAACGAGACCGAGTGGAACGAAAACAAATATGTTACGTGCTTTAAGGCAGAATTTGATTTTCTGAAAATTAGTGTAAACATTTATTCGTTTATGATCTTCTCGTAAATATCAATCGTTATTCTCATCGACAAAAGTCTCTTGATCAAGTCTCAGTTATTATCAGCAGTACGTCGATTAAATTTTTCTAAAAAGTATTCGGAAAAGGAAAAGTAGTTGTGCGACAGTGAGAGCTGTGTGGTTTGCAGTCGTTGCTGGTACCGGGGCTGGGACTGCTGGGATTGCCTCGACTAATACCAACTGTGCCACTACCACTAGACGTCGTCATTCGGTAGCGAGTCATCCCCATTCCGTCAATAATTCCCAATCCGTTCATGTTACAACAACAACTACAACAACCACCACCACTATTACCATCACTACGACCGCTACCGTGACCACCACAACCACAACCGCGACAATATCCCATCAGAGAACCTTGTCGCTGCCCTTAGCTGCCATTATCAATCAAATGCAATCATCTAAAAGATCAGTTTTACGCTGTATGTATTTTTGTTTCGTCATACGATAAATCAGCAAGAGATATTCTTTGTTTCTCTTTCAGTGTCTTTGCCTCGCTGTTTCCTGTTTCTTCTATTCCCCCCTTCTTTCTCAACTTTATCCCTTTCTATGGGAATATCAGTCCGCAAATAAACATGCTCGAATTCGGAACTACTTGCTGTTGCGTCATATATTATTTATGATCTCTCCGCGAGATCATTACATTGTGGATATGCAAGCTTCTACTCGCATGCGACCAATTGCACGATACTTCATAACGAAGTAACGCTTCCTTTTACGTTCCTTTCGTCGTGCCAAAACAGTCGATGGAATATTTTCTACAGCATTCAATTCTAATGATGTGTTTTCTTGTTTTCTTCTCCGCCACCATCGTTTCCTCTCTCCCTTCCTCCTTCCCTCCCTCCTACCCCCCCCCCTCCCTTCAAATTGCCAAATTTTCTCCCTTTAACTATCGTTTTCTTTTTTACGACCTCCTAAGTGTTGACAAATGTATATATATAATATATAGATATAATATAAAATGTATATGTATGTATATATATGTAAGTATATATATTTTGTCCAACTATCCCCATCATTTGGAAATATCTCTTTGATCACTGTTCATTGCTTGATTTAAAATATATGTTTTAATAAATAACAAATTGTATACCTGAATATGCGTAAATATTATACAGATCTATGGAATCATTTGACTATGCAAATGAACTAACCGCTGCTATGCTGGGAGGATGGATGCTTTTCGAATTTTGTTTCCCAAATTGAACGTTTCGCAACAACATATCTGACCAATTTGTTTCTAGGTACAAATGGGCGTGACAGATGCGACAGTTTACCGTCGAGGGCTCGTACCACCAGCGAGAGTCATCCAGCATCGATATTAAGTCATCCTAGGAGCTCGCATTTTGCGTCCCATGTGCTGAGACCGCACTCTATGTATGTAAAGGGAGTCTCCTACTCGCCACCAATCGCTTCGATGCCTATCAGTCCCGCTTCCGGTGCATGTTCCACGGACTCCGCGGGATCATCCCTTTCGATGGACGATGGTGGCGAAAATGTGTTGGAAGAGGGCACTGTCTCGAGATACGGACATTCTTTAACACCTGACGAACCTGTTATTCTGGAGGAGAATGGCGACGATTATGCCCCGTGGTCCACGTCGCATTCGCATCATAAATATTCGCCAAATTTCAAGTCGCATTCTCCTTCCCAGGTGGGTCGTCGGTAGAGCTGTGATACATTTTAAGTATAAAGTAAGATAGTTAATGAAAATTGACGAAGTTTATATCTTATTTAGTTAAAAGCAATACGTGTACCCATTTGCTGCTCTAGAATCTAATACCTTTTCTATAGGTGTATAACTTGCATAGATATCATCCACAATTATGAGTCACTTTTAAGTGATGATTAACTATTCTTAGCGCCTAAATTTATATTTTTGGTCATTCTTGGCACAGTTTAACAAGGTTTCGTTAGTTGATATGTTTTCTTGCGAATTTACGGTTATAAATAATTTCGCTTTAACAATGATTAAATTTCCAAAACTAGTTAAAAATACGTTTTACAAACGATGATAAAGTTATAACTTTCTAGGCACATTATTGATACTATGCATCTTATTTGTTTACAATACAAAACGAGATAAAGAATAAATTGATTCAATTAAAATAATAAGATTTAAGTATAGTTATAAAACACAAGATAATTTTTCATGAAGGTAGGGATTTTCTTATTAAAAATATGAACATTGATATTTATAAATCAAAAAATCAAGTGATAACCAGAAACTTGTATGAATCTTGGTTTTACTTGCAAACATAAGATTTTATTAGGTAAATAGATGATAACGTGACTAAACATTGAAGTTCATGTTGCATCATTATTGTGAAATGTATTGCATCATCTGATGAAGATAGCTATTAGACGAAATAATAACGCGCACAATTTTACTGTGTTTACAGCAAAGTTCCTATTTAGAAATGTGCAGCCCTTGTGGATCGAGTCCTGGCCGCAGTGGAGCCTACATGCAAATGAGTTCAGGTACAGGACATTCGCATTCACGGGGATCTTCCCTTGTAGAGGAATCAAACACTTTACCGGAAGGTTACGTACCTATGGCACCCGTTGGCAACAATGGATATGTCGATATGGATCTTTCGCATAATCACAATGGCCATTTTCTTGATGATCTGTCGCATGGTGGCAGTAGTTGTTCCGTTACTTCTGGTACACCTAGCACAGACTTACGATTTTCTGAGTATCATCTAGACAAGATAACGAGTTTCCTCCCTCCTGGAGAAGATTTGCAAGCAAGACCAGCAAGAGCTTACTCCATTGGGTCTCGGCCAGAACCCGTAAATAGGCATCGTAAAAATAGGTATGGAACATTCGTATTAATTGTATTAATGTAATGTATCAACGTCGAGGATTAAGAGGATTGTTTATTGTAAAAATGGGGGGCTAATACCTACCGAGTAATCATTTATTTATTCTCTTTTATTGTGCACAGATTGGATGTCACTCAGCAGGACGCTAGCAGAGTACGAGCATTCTCTGTAGGTAGTAGATCTAAGAGACCTGAGATTGGCAGGTTAGCGAATGTAGTTACTGCACCATTACCAGTTGGTTGTGAAAGCTCAAGCTCCAATAAGTCAAACTCGGCACCGTTGCTGTCGAGTTCTTGGGGGCACAATTCTGGTTGTTCTGTAACTTCTGAACGAATGGAAGATCTAATGGAATTGGATTTCACGAAACCTAGTATTTCTACAACCTTTAATTCACCGCCTTCATCTTACTCGCAGTCGCAATCTCAGTCGCATTCGTACTCTACTGCCACCGACACCAGTTCCTATGTTGATATGTCTCCTGGACAACCGCCCTCGTCGACCACTGCCCCGTACGTCGATATGAGCCGCATAAATAAGGTATTTTCCGATTGAAATTGATTTATTTGTAATATTTAATATTGCATGTATTAATGTGAAATGCATAAGGTTAATTATACTGGAAAACTAATTCCTTTTTCGTCAAATTATCTTTAACGCTACTATATTTATATTAATTCATGGTTGTTCAATTTTATGTGAAATTTCTTTCAGATTAACCGTAATAACAATAACAATACAATCACTGCCAATCAGAATCATAGTCACATTCATGTATCGTCCTCTGCTTCCATTCATAAACCCGTAATCACTACTTTGAAGCCGGTGGAAGAAGCAGAAGGATCATACATGAGAATGGATGGTGTAATGGAGGATTGGTCACAATCCGATACAAGTCCTAAGCAAATTTCATCACCCATGCAAGAAGAATGTGTACAGTCGAATGGGCCGCCAGGTAAAGAATTTGTTTTAACAATTTTCAAACGTACATGTATTAATTAATCATTTAATTTTATATTTGTATATATTTATATATGTTTAAAAATGTTTACATAATGTTTCTAAAAACAAAAGTCTACTTTGCATTATTTTAAGGATTTGTATTATTTTTTCCCTAAATAGACTACAAAATTGTTATTTTATGCTTAACACAAAATTAATAAGTAACAATTTTTAATATTTTGAATATTTTTTAAATACATATATTTTAATGCGATTTATATTTCAGTAATATTTAACTGTTATTGAATATTTAATACTAATATTGATGCATGATTTATGTTTCAGGAGCCACAAGAACAGCACCAGTCGATCTTCCACGGCGCCCACCTGCCGACTATGTTGATATGAATTTCAAACCAAGAACAAGTTTAGAACAAGACTACATAAATATGAACATGAGCAACCGAAACAATCGTAAAATAATAGCTACACGATCTGGTAGTCGCAAGGAAAAATCACGTTCGCAGCCAATCGCAATCCAAGCAGGAAATAAACCTATAAAAACGCCTAGTTTCTTACCTCTAAACGGAAGTCCGGAATCAGAAAGTTTAGCGAGTACTCCCGCGTCACCGCCGCGGGCAACTCCGACAGGTTCTTCAGCGACTATTTTCCCTTTTTCTCTAAACAGTCCTCAGTCACCTGAGAAATCATTCACTCATCAAAAGAGTACCGACGAATCGTCAGAGCTGAATATGAGCTCCACATGTAGTAACGATCGTACAATTATAGAAGCTACAAGTAGTAGAATTAGCATGGTAAATTCTATTCCTGTAACGGAGGCGAATAACACTTTGCCAAAATTAATTAACGATAAACCGTCTAGTTCTACAGGAAAAGATAATCAAGTTAACCGAGTGATATTGAACAACTCGTTAACCTCGCAAGATAATACGTTAAATGCTGTAACAAAAAAGTTTGCCGACTTAAATGTATCAAAGCCACGTTTGATTACCGCTTCCCCGAACACCAGTCCCACATTATCCGGCTTTAAGCCAACCATTGAAAAACAACCGCCGTCTCCAAAGTTGCAAGATGAGACGCCAACGCCTACACCTAGCACCATGCCAAGTCCATTAGAAAAGGAGAGTTTTGATAAAGTGCAAGCTGATGCGGAAATTTTGCACTACGCTAGTCTAGATCTTCCTGAAGTTGGTAACACAGCACCTATATCGCCAGCATCCCAAGAAGGCTTCAATTATGCTGAAATCGATTTCGCTAAACTTAAACAAAACTAAGAGGCCATCGTTAGCTATGCGAGTGATGGAATCAGTGTAATATGCGTGTGCGTCACGTATCGTGAAATGCTATTGACCTTTTTTGATCATATTGACGAGTATTAACAGGACAATCGATCGTTCTAACATTGGTCGAGCTAAATTGACGAAAAGGAGTTAAAATGATGGTGTTGGATGTAAAGTGTAAATAGTTAAATTTTGTTTCTTTGTTCCCAATATTTAAATCGAGATCATTTTATCCATCGTATACTTCTGAGTTCCGAATGTTGCTTTTTGTTGAGTACAGTAGCGATTATGGGGAATACTGTTATAAATTGATACGACCTTTCTAGTTCGGGAACGGAATGTATTTGCATGTTGCTTTCTGATGTTCTGCGACCTTTGAAATGTCAAGTTGTTTTCTTTATTTTTCCTTTCTCTTTTTATACAAATTGTTTTCTCGGAGAGGAATATTGATATTAAGTACGAAGTTAAAATTTTATCTTTTTTTATTTGCTCTGCGAGCGAATGTTGTAAGAAGTATTACCTTGTATGTAAAAATACGAGACATGTTTTCAATTCGAGAAAAGGAATAGTATTTATCGGTTATTTTAAATCTATTTTTAGGTGTTACAGCGATTAACTTAATGTTATTACTAATCTTGTTAATTTTTGTGAATTTGATTGCAGTCGTTTAACAATGTGCAACAAAAATATGAATAATGAATGCGTGCAAATAAATATGGAATTGTCTCCTTGGTACCAGGGACGAGTTGTTGCTTGCCAATGTTGGATCGATGCAAAATTGCAAGAACTTGTAATTCAGACAAGTGTACGCTGTTTACATTGAACATACATATACGTATTATCACGCTTTTTCGTATAAACTATAAATTTACGAAATACTGTTTCACGCAATTTGTTCACACCCTTGTACATTCAAGTATGAGTGTGCGCGCGCGCGTACTACATGTTCATTCAGGCATATACACATATACATACGCATTTACAGGGTATTCTGTAAAAGATGGTAAAACTGGAAAAAGAGATGATTGGTTGTGTAAAAATAAATTAAAGACCAGTCTTAACAAGACATTGTTACTGAAAATTAGAAAAGAAAGGATGTTTCTTAACATTACCGACGTTTATGAGTTCAATTTTAATAACATACTTCTCCTCGCATAAAGTTTAAGAATAGTTTGGACATAAATTATATCATATCGCGTATATACATACGCATTGTCTAAATAATGCTATAAATATATACGTATGTGAAGATATATGTATGTATATATATACATTCACATATGTATATAATTACGTGTGTGTATGTATGTATGTATGTATATATATATTATGTTATATAATACGTATATCAGTAATGACTAAAGCAGTGTATATTGCTGTTCTTCATTATGCGTTTCTTGCACGTGTGTATATGTATATATGGGTACATATACACTCGTACGTACACACACACACACACACACACACACACACAAATATATATATATCTATAAATTAATTCCTTCGAATGCTTTTCTGAAGATTTTCAGATTTAAAAAATGACATGTTGATTGTATTATTGTATAATAATGTTGTTGTAACATGTACATTGTTCGATTTAAGATTATTATTTGACTGACACTAGTTGAAGTAAGTTTTTATTTAAAAAAAAAAAAAAAAAAAAAAAAAAAAAAAAAAAAAAAAACGAGATCTTTTTTTGTTGCAGATTAACAAGATGTCCGTCCAGTTGAAATAGATCGCGTTATAACTTTTTAGTTTCCTGGTAAAAGGAGTTCTGTTTGATTTAAGAATTAACATGTAAATATAGACTCTTTTGCAAATTACGAACTTGAGAATTTTATTGTTTTATAATCGTCGATCGATTTTCATTTTTCTTTCTTTTTTCTCTTTTCTTTTTTTCTTTTTTTATGAAAAAAATGGAAGACTCGAATGTTCATCAGAAGAATAGGGAAATCGAAGCACGAGTTTAACTTTATTTATGAACACACTATTACAAGATAATACATTCGTATAAGAAATTTTTATTTTTGTATTAAGAAACAGTATTTATTTTTAGTTAGAGGAGCTTACATTTTTTTGTCAAAGAAATACATTTGTCAGTTAATGATTTAAGTATCCAATTATGTATGGTTTGTAGTATTATATCTAAATAAGAACGATAATTTTAGAAGTATTATATGTAATTATCTCATAGGCTATCTTTTACAATGGGATATTTCGAATACTTATTTTATTTATTTAATTTCTTCGGTTAATGTTAATTAGTTCGTCGAGCTTCATTTTAATAACTAAATAAGTTCATTGGCAAAACTTGCAAATCATAAATGACATATATGATCATATTTAATGTGTACATCTTTAATTTTCTTTTTTACATCCATTTATTTTTAATATTTTCAATATTGATTTAAAAGAAAAACTTACCAACCAAATTTAGTGTTTCTATATCTACCCTTTTTTTTACTTCAAAAAGTATTGTGTTAGCTGCTGCTAAAATTGGGGAAATATTAATTAATTCCATAATGTGTAGATGTACATTATAAAAAAAAATGTATAAATTGAGAAAAGTAATGTTGGCTTAAATGTACATATAAAATTTAAATATAATATCTAATAATAAGTATTTTACTGATACATCAAATATTTATTTTAATAACATAATTTAGTACTACCTGTTTAGAAAATCGATTACCGTTTTTCCTTTATAATATGCCATAAAAGAAACCTCCATTGTTACAAAAGTTCTAGTTCTGCTATTATAATTGTAGAAATTATATTAGCACACTTCAAGTTTTAGGTAAAAGTAATCGTTAATGAACATTAAATTCAAAAAAGTCATTGTTCATTTTCAGACATTCATATTTTTATTTGCCACTAACATTCGTCTCACGTAAGTTGAAATTTTATAATTAAATAATAACGACTTTCATGAAACCATAAAAAATTTATTTAATTTATTATATTTATAAATTTATTATTATTAAATGCAGATGATCCAAAACATTATTGCGAATGTCAAAAAGTAATGAAAATACGCTACGTTCAAGGTATCACGATATATCTTGTTAGTTGAATGCTACTGATTTTGTATAAAATTTATGGCCTTTAGTTTCCCTGACGTTGAACTTATTTCCTAGGAAATAGATAATAAAACGAAAATAAGAATCGCAAACCTTACATCGAACTTACAAAATCATCGATTATTAAGCATCAAACAAACTTATCTTCGCTTTTGGTACGATCACCGAATTAAAAATTTGAAAAATAGGTCGAATAACAGTTTACCTCTCGCTCGTCGTGCAACGCCATCTAGAACGTGTCTTGATTTATCGTCGGTGGTGCTAGACAAAGGCCACACGATTCGAGCATCCACGCCAAACACGTGCAATGTTGTTGCAAACAGGGAGCGAGCAAGGAAAGTCACGATAAACCTTGCTGTTCAAAGGCAAACACGATTTCACCGTGAATATGGAGCGGATTACGTGCCAGCAGGACTGAAAGGGGGATGAGCGTGCGTGTTTACAGAAACTGTTAGGATTCTATGCGTTTGAAGTAGCCTCCCTACGGCGTTTCCCTTATTCCCGCCAAATTGGCCCGTCCTCACCGTCACGGACGCGTCAAGGTACTTAACTGCAGGTAAACATACCCTAAATCATGAACCAGGGCGAAGGACGGGAAATGGGTCCGACCTTACTCGTAAAATTGCACCGTATCGCGAGTACCTATTGTTGTGCCCTTGTATAGACTGCTCGCTTCTGTACGAGCACGTCCATTGTACCGTTCTCACTGTGCTCTTGTTATTACGGCACAGGTATGCCAATCAATGCACCCTAAATGCTTCCTAATCGCGAGTAGCCGGCAGAAATTTTTCCTCCTTCCTTCTGTGACGTTTCCACCATTGCCGTTTAATTGGCACGCCTGCGCAGTAGACGCAGCAGTCTCTTCTCTGGATTGGCGTATGGAGAGACAGAGATGCATAATCTGTTGTGACAGATGATTGGTAGGTTTGCTTTGACGCTTATTAGGCTAGGGATAAAGTCGCTCGTGTATCGAATAATTTTGCACGTTTAATGCTGCAACGTATATATGTATTTACGTACATGGAAATAATTAAGTGCGACACGTTGCAGCTGATAATTGTTGGTTAGGAAAAATTGAATTTTATCGAAGAATAGAAAGAGGAATTAAATTATTGGAATTATTATTTATGGAGAATTTTATGGTATAGTGTATTGCTTTTTTAAATCACAATTTCTTTGCTTCTTTTTAATTGGTGTTTGAGGATTCCAATCTTGCTTCTATCGATGTTCTTGGAAAACCTCTTGCTAATCTTAAGATGGTTGATTTACTGCAATTAACCATTCTAAACAATGTTCTGGAATATAATTAGATTACATTTAAAACTTGTATAAGAGTTCTTAATTATACAACGTTGGGAATTTTTTTTTTGTTATTTAATTAGATCTTTTTAAACTGTCTTTTATAGTCAATTATGAAGATTTTGAAGACACGTTTTTGGATAATTTGATATAAGATTTTGTTTAATTTTCAGAATCATAGGGGAATAAATTTTTATTTGGAGAATTGAATTTCATTGTCAAAGAAAATAATTATTAATAAATTTTGTTTTTTCTTAACTTTTCTTCTTGTTTCTTAATTCCTTTTTTTTTTATTGCTGTCCCTGAATTTTTGTTTGGATGAATTGCACAGATCAATTGACATTCAAATTGTCACAGACTTAAAAAAAAAAATGGTAATTCAAGAAAATCGTATATTTTTATCAGAGTTTAGAAAATAGATTTGGCGAATTTATTTGTGTTGATTTCCAATACATAAATTGTCGAATACACCAAAAAAAAGAGAATATGTAAAATTTTTAAAAAATTGAGAATAATCATTCCCCAAATTTTCAAGAATTTTTCACTTTTTTCCTAAGACATTTATGATAATAACATATTAACTCCAACATTATTCATTCAAAGTCTAATTATCTCTATTTCTCCTGTGGTCTATAAAAAGCTAGATCATAAATAGACATAAAAAATCGCAAAACTCGAAACCCTTGGAACTCAAAATATTAAAATTTTCCTTCTATTTCTAAAATCCATCCACTTATATCAGTAATCGAAACTATAGCAAATTTTTATTTGGACAATCAATACATATGCACACTATAATTACATAATCATTATACTATAACTAAGTATAATGAAAACATGCACGAAGAAGCGAAAAAGTATCGAAATTTAGCTAAATGGCTATTTACTTAGGTTTCGAGAGTTTTAAGTTAAGAAAATAAGAAAAAATATTTTACTTTTCGAGTTTCGAAGATTTTCTAATGGGATAGGACTACTATTAACCCTTTGC